TCCAATCTGTATCTGTCTATCATATCTATATCTATGTCTATATGTCTATGTCTATGTCTGTGTCTGAATGTCTGTCTGTCTATCTATGTCTATCATATCTACATGACTCTATCTATCTATCCAATCTATGCCTATCTATCATATCTACATCTATATGTCTGCCTGCCTATCTATCTCCGGGGCAACGCAGTGGATAGAATGCAGTATTGCAGATTAATTCTGCCAACTGCCAGAGTTCAATCCCCATAGTGGACTCAAGGCCTTCCATCCTTCCAAGGTTGGTAAAATGAGGACCCAGATTTTTTTGGGTAATATGCTGACTCTGTAAAGCACTGTGAAGCGGTATATAAGGCTAAGTGCTACTGCTATTTGGTGACCGGAGACCCCTCTGGCCCCTTGGTGTCGCACAGGAAGACCAGCTCTACTCGGGTAGAGCTAGGGTAGGGTAATCCAGGGGAGGTCAGCATCTGTGAACCCCCCTTTCCGTGGGGCCAAGTGAGACCCCGTTTCACCCAAGACCGGCCCCTTCCTTCCAACATCTCTCTTTACCTCCATCCTTCTCGGCTTCGTCCCGGATTAGTGGGGAGGTGAGGGTCACTTTGAGGGTTAACGGGAGCCCCGTTGTGCTACGGACGACGATGGCCGCTTCGCTGGGATGGTGTTCTATGTGGTACTTCTCCTCTGTGAGTTTCTGAAACAAAGCATATAAGGAAAGGCTGCTGGAATTGGGTATGTCTAGTTTAATGAAGAGAAGGACGGGGGGGGACATGATAGCAGTATATCAATATCTCAGGGGCTGCCACAAAGAAGAGGGAGTCAAGCTATTCTCCAAAGCACCTGAAGGCAGGACAAGAAGCAACGGATGGAAACTAATCAAGGAGAGAAGCAACTTAGAACTAAGGAGAAACTTCCTGACAGTTAGAACAATTAACCAGTGGAACAACCTGCCTCCAGAAGCGGTGAGTGCTCCAACACTGGAAGTTTTTAAGAAGAGACTGGACAGCCATTTGTCTGAAATGGTATAGGGTTTCCTGCCTGAGCAGGGGGTTGGACTAGATGACCTCCAAGGTCCCTTCCAACTTTATTATTATTATTATTAAGCCAGAAATGGCTCCGTCAAGCCACGGGGTGGGGAGAAGTGTTGGTGTCCAGCAGAGAAACGCCTCTGCTGAAAGCGCCTCGGTGCACTGAACTAAGGGATGGTTTTGCAGAAACTGCGACTGTAAACATTGAAACAACCACGAGACTTTGAGTCTTCTTCTGGGGAGGAAAACAACCACTTTGGGGGGGAGTTTCCCCCCCCTTGCTAGAAATGTTGGCAGAAGCTTTCTGGAGCATTCAAGAGGAGTCAGGAAAACCAAGTTTATAAAAAGAAGTTGGCTAAGAATTGCTGCAGTGCAGGTATATTTCCTGGTCCCTGGAGGCTGCGGAAACAGCTTCCTTTCTCCAAGGGCTTTCATCGCTGGCCGGCAGGCAGCCCATCAAGCCTGCTAAGGCCATCCAGGGCCTCACAATCTACACTCAGTTGTGGCTCTTGCACCAGATTGTAAGGCAGGAGACACCAAGGCAACGTGGTTCCCTGTTGCCTGAGCCGGTCCCTCCATCCGCCCTCTTACGAGAGCTTGAAATGGCCACTGATTTACCATTGAACACAAAAATAAGAGGGGATCCTCCCACTTTCTACGACTGAAGTTGTTCACCAACATCGTAACTTACCCTGATTTTTCTCAGTTTGTACAACCGTCCAATTCAGAACGGTTTATTTTCGACAGAATTAACCGCGCTTTCATTTTTATTTAGATTATTGCTATTTTGAACTCATCCTAACCAAAGATCCTTTTCCGGTCTTCTACAATACAATTCACTAAAAATAAAAAAATTCTCTCATAGTTATGCTTCCTGGCAGGAACAATGTTATCAGCATTGATTCACACCCCAAAGTGAGTCTCTCCCGGTTATTTCTGATCTGATTATCTTATCTGACAAGCTGCCGAATTGGTCTCCCTAAGGCAGCAGACATGAACAACAACAACCACAATAATAATAGCGATTTAGAATATTGGAAAATGTACACAGGTAGTCAACGGCTTACTAAAGCTTTTTTAATGACGGTCCGAAGTTACACCGAAAAAAAAGTGACTTTATGACCATTTTTCACACTTAAACCGCTGCGGCATCGCCGTGCTCACGCCTGCATTTGGACTGAAAGCGTCACAATTACTTCCTGGCTGGTGCAGGATTTTTGGAGGGCAGAGATTTGAGCAGTGGGCAGCAGGGGGGCTGCCCTTGCTCAGCTCAGAAAAGACACCTTGCCAAGAAAAATGAGTTTCAAAACGCTGCCTCCAGCAACCGGCAGCAGAAGAGAGACAGGGGGAAAAAATGGAAAAAGCCAAGAAACCTGCGCCGTTGTTTTTTTCCCTCTCACCTTCTCTGGAGAACAACCTGCGTTGCCAAGAAAAATGGATGCGTTTTTAAACCGCCCCAGTTTTTTCCTTGGTTAAGAAGGAAAAACACACACTGGGAAAAATTTCTTCTGTGCCCAGATAAAAAAACAGGGAGCAGCAGCAGCCAGAGTTTGGGGTGTGTGTGTGTGTGTGTGTGTGTGTGTGTGTGTGTGTGTGTGTGTGTGAGAGAGAGAGAGAGAGAGAGAGAGAGAGAGAGAGAGAGAGAGAGAGAGAGGGAGAGAGAGAGAGAGGGAGAGAGAGAGGGAGGGAGGGAGGGAGGGAGGGAGGGAGGGAGGTTCATTCTTCCAGCTTGTGGGTTGGTTTCTGAACGTTGTGTTACAAAGCTGGGATGGTTTCTGAACGTTGTGTTACCAGGCTGGGTAACCTCTTCAGCGGAGTTTAGGGGATGTCAGAGTTCTTCTGTTTATAAGGGCTTCTGGTGCGGGTGTGTTGAGTGAGGGTCTTGTGATGGGTCATGAGTGAGAGGCCTGTGATGGGTCTTGTGGTGGGGAGGTTACATTGACCTACCACCAGCCTACGAACCCCTCCGAATCCAAATCAAGCGCACAGCCAACCAGAGGCAGCACCGACCCTCAGCCATCCCGCACAATCCCCCACTTCCCACCAGCAGTTCCCAATGACCCTGACCTGATGTAACTTCCCCATCACAAGTCTCTCATTCAATATCTGACCCATCACACTCAACACACCCACACCTGAAGCCCTTCTAAACAGAAGAACACCGACATCCCCTAAACTCCGCTAAAGATGTTACCTAGTGTGGTAACGCAACGTTCGGAAACCAACCCAACAAGCTGGGAGAACGAACCGCCACCCTCGTGTCTATGTTGTTTTGTTGGCAACAATGTGGAAAGGTTCTAGGTTTCTTTTGTCTGCTTCCCAGGAGAGACTACATCCCTAACAGGGCTTGGTGGCTGCCCATCCAAGTATGAACCAGGCCAGATCCCACTTAGCTTCCAAGCCAGAAGAGCTCTGCTAAGAGACCCATCGCAAGACCCCCTGATGACTCACACCTGACCCATCAAAAGACCCATCACAGACCTTCCCTTGACACACCCAAACCTGGAAACCCTTGTAAACAGAAGAACACTGACCTCCCCTCCACTGACCTCCCCTAAACTCCACTGAAGCCTGGTAATGCAACGTTCGGAAACCAACCCACAAGCTCGGAGAATGGACCTTCACCCTCATCCTACACCCGAGCTACAGATATTCGGCACTATTCCAAACCCATAGATCAATCATCAATGTGGGCTTCTCGAGTTTTGGCTCACCTGGATTTGGACAGGTAGATTGTCTTTGACGAGGGATAAGAGGGTCTCTGTGGGCTTCTCTTTGCACATGAGGACCAGTTCCAGGTCCATGTCGTCCTTTATCAACAAGCCTTTGGCCACCAAACCAATCCTCATCACGCCACACAAGATCCGGCCGCCTTGCTCCCTGGAGAGGGTGGAAATTTAAATTATTACGATTGGTTGCACAGTCAGCCAGATGTTTAGGCTGGATTGGGCACCTTGGTCCACTTATTGAGACCTTCCCAAGGGCCTGGGATAGGCAGATGTGGAGGTTTGATGGGGTTGAAAGCATCATCGCAGGATGTAAGCGGTTCCCAGCAAAGCTGCCTTTGGCAATTGACTGATGGGGATTCTGTCAATGCCAAAGGTATCCTAATAATAAACTATTATGGTTCATCGCATAGGCAGCAGGTATTTAGACTGGATTTTTGTCCACCTATTGAGACCTTCCCAAGGACCTGGGATAGGCTGATGTTGATCCTTCAGGGTGTTAAAAGATCTCCTTGCAGGATGTAAGCTGTTCCTAATGAAGCTGCCTTCTGCAATTGACCAATGGGGATTGTGTCAATGCCGATAGCGCTCAAATGGTACTCCAGCTGTTTTGGGATCACACACAAGACTCTTGTGTGGACCCCACCTCTGCTTTCTTTTGCCGCAGTCGTCCTACTTCTGCTTGCAATTATTATTATAGTATTTTGCATCTGCTTTGCTCTCTTAAACCCAGGATGTTTGACAAGGGACGTCGCAAGGCTTTAGCGCGTGCAGGAATGTGAACGCCAGACTGTTAACTCATTAGAGCAGCTGCTTCGGCTTCCAGAGGGTAACGCAACTCACACCAAGACGATTGTGTCAGCAGCTCAGTGACAACGAGTGGCTGGGATTTCAGAAAATGCTGGAGTGGCAACCCAGTTCACCCCCAAGCAGCTGAAGGGCAAATGGAAGGCTACCGATGCTCTTAGGCTGAGCGGTCTCTTCAACCAGACCGCGGCTGCCTCTGAAAATCCTCACCTTGATGTAAGGACACGGCACAGCTGGCCCACATAATCTGCCACGTCACAGAGTTTTACCGCTAATAAATTTTGCATTTAAAGCTCCACACACCCTCCTTCTTCCAATCACGGTCCATTTTCTGCTCCAGAGAATCTGAGGTATGTTTTTTTTTCCCCCCTTTCTCGTCTTTCTTGTGGCAAGGAAAACTGGCCAGGGAAGAAAAGGGGGGGGCTTCTACTCATTGCAGGAGCTTTTTATGCATCAAGGGCTCGCTCCCTTTTTAAAAAGATGTGGGGAGTGGATAGAGAGACCTGTAGCAAGGCTGGCATGGGGAAAGGAAATAAATTAGGGTCAAGAGGCAGAACCATCACGAAGAGCAGCGCTGAATTTCCGTGCAAGCTTCTTTATAGCTCATTTGGGGGGAACATCTGGCCAAAAGTGTTTTTATCCACCTATCTACGCACACACCAAAGAAAACAGCACCCCAAATTTAGCACGAGCTTATATAAAAAATTCCAGCACAGAGAACCAGGGAAAAAACAGGCTCCTGGAGTCTGCACCATCGGCAGCTGTTAAAAATATAATCACAACCTCCGATTTTCTGGCAAAAAAGAGATGTCAAAGGGAAGGATGTTGCATATTCAAATGAACAACCAAATAACAACTTTTGCTCTTATTTCTTTCCTGGCCTTCCTTATCCAAACTCCTGGTGATGCCTCCTGAATATGTCGTGGTTAACTATGCCTAGATGTGTTTTCCTCAAGCAGCTTCAATGCTCCCCAAACGCCAAGAAGGTCCCTTGATTAGTACTTGACCTCATCCAAGAGCAGAGAGCAGACCCCCCAGATGGGACACCCATCTTAGGGTTCAAATTGTCAAGCG